ATAGCCATTCCAATTCTTCCTTGAATATACATACTTTCTTCTATTTTGTCACTTTTCTTTTGACATAGATTCCATGAGTTTATGTATCTTCTTCCAGTTTGTGTCATTGACAACTTGTCATTTTGAAGTAAGATTCTTTCATAATAAATTTTTCAAAAGATAATTTTTTTTAATATGAATGTATTAATTGATAATAGCTTGATTGAAGTAGATATTTTAAATCATATAATTCCATATCGTTGCTTCAATACTAAATTGATTGATTTGGCTATAAGTATTTTATTTACATTTATGTCAACATAAGGTCTTAATCTAGCTTATTAGCTCAAAAATATAATTTTTAAGTTCATTAGGAATGTTTATAACTTATTCTCTTCTAATTCAACTTGGAATTTGACATAATTCTTTATATGAAATTTACAAAGAAATGGTGAGAGTAGGTATAGACATACTGCTAGCAAATTCATAAATAAACCTAATAATTAGTCATTGAAGTTACTAGAAAGCAAGATTTTAGATATATTACAAGTTTGGATAGCATTAATCTGATGTAGAAGTAAAAGTAACTAATTATCATAGGAATGTTCATTTTTATCAACTTCAATAAACTTGCATGAGTTAAAAAATAGAAACTAGCAACTAGAAGTTGTTGCACAATGGATTGGAGTACGAAGAAGCACAAACTCATCAACACTAGCAATTGTGTATCATGACTTAAAGTTAAAGCAATATAGTTGGAAGCACAGTGTGTGAAGAGACAGCATAGACCACTTTGAGGTTGATCTATAATACTTGCATTTTTAAAAAAACCTTATTTTTGTCAAACTAAGTTGCAAATAAAATCAAAAAAATTACTTTTTAAAAAAAATATTGCATGTTTTATTCACAATAAGATGTAAGAAATACAAAAAAACTATAAATTATGCAAAAATAAGGATCTAAGCAAATAGATTATAAAACATGCTATAATCAAATGATATAATAAAAATATATAATATACATATACACACATATTAACAAAAATAGTTTACAAAAAAAAAATCAAAAAAAAAATCTACAACAAAATATTTATAATAAGTACAATATTTAATACTTAAATCTCTCCTCTCAGAAATAATATTTATTTCCTAAAATAGTACAAACATAATTTTCTTTATTATAAATTGATACTCTTGTATATATTGAATAATAACTACATACATGTAGATAATCCAAACATAAAATATCATTGATGATCAATTATTATTTTTAAATTTATATTCAATATCTACAATAAAATATCTAAATTTTAATATTCTTTTTAAAAATTTGACGGTCCTCTCAACCATGAAAGTGAAGAAAACTTGCAAATTTGAACAAAAAGAGAACAATTATTTGAACATATTTTATTAAGAGATTTAGCAATTGCTTCATAAAAGAATAATGTATATAAGTTCAAAACATTCAAAAATAGTTTCAAGTATAAAATAACAAAACAAACAAACAAACAAACAAACAAAAATAAAAAATAAATCATTCTACTCTTAATTAAGATCTCTCCAAATGATCCACAAATACATTGCTTGTCTTTAAGCATGTTGTTTGTCTTCAAGCACACATAGTAGATATCAAGAGGAGAAGGAGGTGCATCAAAAATATCAAAAAAAAAAAAAAAAAAAAAACTAAAACTAAAACTAAAACTAAAACTAAATATGTCAGAGAAAGAAGCCTCTCACTTCCTACTCTAAGTTCCAATCTCATAGTTGATAGTTGAAGCCAATTACTTTTATTCAAGCACTAGTAACTAGCTCGCTATTAGAATATATAATTCTCATAATTTTTTCTATGTATTCTAATTGGTCAAGTTCTTAATCTTGTATATCTAATCAATTGTGTATGTGGTGTAGTGATACTTGCTGGATTATCAAAAATGAATATTAGATCCTCACTCATTATTTTCATGCAAGATATTTACTAAGTCTATAAGACATATTAGAGGTCAATTACCTCTCATTTTTCTTAGTCAAGTGTCTCTCCATATGATTCCAGATTTTGGTGCCTTATTTTTGTGACATAGAGCCAATCACTATCACTTGTCAATCTAAACTCTATTTCATAACTTTATTGAATGATACATCTATCAAGGATTATTATTAGCTTAGTAAAGACATCTTCTCTTACTGATTAAGTCCTTCAAAATCAAAATAAAACCTTAATTGCTAATAAGAAGGAAAAAATACTAATACAACATAAAACATAAAAATACAAATTACTAGTTTGTCTTCACATTCCTCCATAAGAAGGCACCAAAAAGGTTTGTCTTCTATGTTGTCAAGGTTATTCTATCCATAATGTAGTTATTATTGCATTAATCTCAAGTTTGGTGTAAAAATCTACATTGATGTGTTTTAATATTCTTCAAAGAAATTTAATCCAAGCTAAAAAATCTATTATGTAGCACATTTATTTTTATGTGTTCATATCTTTGGAGAATGTCAAAAAAGTAGAATGCAATCAATTGAATAAAATTGCATCTTAAATCAACAATACTACTGGTTTTATTTGAACTAGATGTGTACTACAAGCATATATTGTGTTTTATTTAATAAGTTCAATTTAAGCTTGAAATGAGATTTAGAACATTGTAATTTCAATTGAAATGTTTGTTTGACTCACAATTAGATGATGCATGTCTTAATGCAATGTCTACAAGTTTCTATTTGCATTAAATATGTTAGAAACTTTTATAAAACCTCAAACATGGTCAATATGAAGGCCTCTTCACACCACTTTCTCCCAAATGGGTGATGATGGATTCTAAACAATGAAGTCATAATCTTACAACTTTATTTAAAGTTTTGGAATCAAAAGAGTATTTGGCAATGTAGAGAAAGATAGCTAAATTATTCACCATGTCTATCAAATTTTGCAAGTAGAAGAATTGAAAGCTTTAAATAAGAAAAAAAAGCTTTTTGCAGTAGTTGCTATCTTCTTAACAAGAAACAAACTTGTGAAATATTATGTAGAAAAATAGGATTGTAAGAAAACCATGAACTAGAGCCAATAGGATCAAATTATGCAAAAAAGGAGTTGAATCTAGAAACTACAGGAATGCATGGAACTTGTTTCCAAAAGTGTCACACCACATATTTTGTGGTATGTAGATTGGACCTCAAAATAGGCTAAAACATGAGTATTTTGATAAGCTATCAAATCTTGGAGTATTTTTCAAATTTTGAAAAAACTCATGGATACATGTATAATTATCAAAAATATAAGAATATTCTTGATATTTTTATATATTTCAAGGATACAAATAAAAAAATTCCTTTAAATAAATATTTAAAATTTGTATGTACTTATTTACAGATGTTTACTTGTAAAATAAATATCTATAAATAAATACATATAATTAATCATACTTTCATATACACATTTATTATTCTTATAGGTTGTGAATAATGTTTGTTTAATAATATCTTTATTATTATACAATGACATTTGTTGAAAGGATTTTGAATAACAAATCTAGTTATATTTTTTTATACAACTTTATTTTTACCTACAAATAATGAAATTTAAAAAATAAATTAAAGTAAATTATATTATATTAATTATATTAATTATATAAATTATTCCAATTTAATTTTAGAAATATATATATATATATATATATATATATATCACAAATAATTATTATTTAGACACATTTTTGTACTACTCTAACTATCAAAATTCTAAATCTATGACATATTCAAAAAAATATAAATTTTAAGATAGAAAAATCATTACAAGAAAATTCAACAACTTTTCAAATATGTACTTGAAAGATTCTTTTCTTTGTTTCTTGAATTTGAAATTGTAATTAATTTTTAAATTTTAATTAATTTTTTTTATAAAATCAAATAATATACAATAAAGTATATTTAAATAGTAATAATACACAATACATACAATACATTATAAATATTAATAAAATTTAATGTTTTAAATAATAGTTAATTTTTGTAGTAAATATAGATATATTTAGATAAATATTAAGTACATCTTTTTACTTTGCAAGGCAATCATTGGTACAAAAAAAATCATATTTGCATCAAAAAACAGATATTTGAAAAAAGAATCGAATTTTTTTGAGGCTGTGTATATTCCTAACAGTGACAAAAATAAGTGAGTAAATAATAGCCCCTATGTTTTATACAAACAAAGATCTCGATCATATTACATGGTGATGTGCCAAACAGTATGTAGAAATCCTAAATATTGTGGTTTGCATTGAGAACAGGAACGCGACGGCACGTTCCTCCACCCATTCTTTGCGGTGATTGTCACCAGATGCTCACTTTGCTTATGGGTAATTCACTCCATTTGTGACTATCTCTCTGAGCAGTTTTGAGAAGCCCTGCTTGGCTGCAGGCGAACAGTGGAACCAGACTCAAGCCCTACTTCACCTTGAACATCTGCGTGAAGTGTTATGCTGCCCTCCTCCCGGGTTGCTGGTCTCTGTGCAAGTCCAGTACCAATCCAACACAATTTCATCTTGTGGGAGCTAAACTTCATGCTAAGGTTCTCAACCTAGAAACGATCTGTCTAGTTGCTTACAAGTTGTCGCACTGCTAGTCGTGTGGGTTAGTTCCAATTGTGATTTTGAAACTACATTGTGAGGAGTATTTTGAATGCTCCATGAGAGAAGCCATAATTGCCAATACAAGTGATTTGGACTTTGTTTTGCATTTGGTGGATCGTTTACACCATTCAAAAAGTCTCGATCAAGCGTCGGTGGGTCTCTTACATCGATGTTCATACAATATTGCTGTTGTTTTCATTCAAAAGGCGAAACTTTTTGTAGGCTTTGACTCTTGAAACTTAGAGTTACGCATGTTGGTTGTAGGGAAGTTTCAATGACTGTCCCGTGAACAAGATAATTGTGCTGAAGTTTGGAATTTCGACAACTTTGACATTACAAAACACCAAATCCCGAGTCACTTCAAGGATAAATTCACAGCATTGCCAGATCAAAGTTACTATCCAATGCCTGGTGCAGCTTCCTGCACACAAATACACGGCAAGTATGGGTCGTGTTGTTTATTTACTGTACATATAATACACGTCGAGACAAAATTGATTCCAGGAACTCCCTGCAACGCTAAGAACCAGTAACCCGAGAGGTTGCTCAAAAACCCCGGGTCTTTCATATGAAGATAAAAACACCAGCACCCTAGGGGTGGAACGTCTAACCGGCAATGCACTCTACCAATCCTTAGCGAATCCAAACCCTACATCCTCAGCTTCACCTGGAACCTATGAGCTACAACTAATCCAACCTCTCATGTGGCGCAGATCGACGGGGGCATGGTGACTGATATTGCAGAGCGATTCGTCGGGTGCGAATGCGCATCAGCAGTGATCCACGACTTGGGCGTCACTTCGCCTAAGCTGAACGACTTAAGCGCAGATGAGAGGTCGTCGAACTGTTGGTGCAGTTCTGTGGTATCGGAGGGGGACAGGGCGTCCGACCCACGGCTAACAGAGGAGCCTCGAGGGTAGCCTCCCCAGCTGTGACGACTTGACCTGAAGGTAGTAAGTCTTCGCCAGAAAGTTGCAGTTGGTGAGTCGGAGCTTGCGCGGTTGGTGCTCCTGGAAGAGACAGAGCTCGAGGAGATGCATGAGATCGGTGATCTTGGCTTGAGAAATCCCTTGTGTGGTACCAGAGTGATTGTTTTTGTGGAGCGTCCGTTCTTACGCATGCGCACCGCGTGACATGAGAGATGCTTGCTGTAGTAGCGTCTACTCCTCATTGCCCTCCTGCGAAAAAATTAAAGTTAATATATTTTTTATGAATGCCCCCATGTTACATCTCGCGGCTTCAAAAAAATATTCTTCTCGACGTCAGAACTTAAAATTATCTCTAGTCACATGTGAAGGCAGCAACGCTGATACGAACCTGTCAAAAATTGCATATGTCGCTTTGATATTTGAGAGCTCTCGCACAACCACCACTCGAGTGCGCGTGCCTGGTGCTATTCGCACTGTGAGTTTGACCTGCAAGTGCTCGTATTACTCAGAACCAAGCTCAAACGCTGGAAATCGTGCAATCTGTGCAAGAGTTGGTTGGAGGTTGTTCGAAGATTTGAGCCTGGTTGAGGAAAGATTACCTGTTTCTTCTCACATTCTTCTCGTCTGCCGCTGTCAACCAATTTCTGCTCAAAAATTTCTTCTACCTTGGACACGCTTGCTTGCAAGATCTCCTTGTTCACTCCAATCAATGGATCTGTGTTCGCCAGCATCTTGAACCCCACTGCTACCAATTCCAGGAAAAGGTCAGCACACGCATAATTAGCTCACAAGTTATTCAGCAATTGTTTGACCGCAAGCATTGTAGATGTGAAGTCAAAGATTATATGTGAGAGAGTGCAGCAGCGCGTACTTGGACTAGAGATGTGCTTCAGAACACCAAGAACGATGACCTCGTCCCCAGGTCGAACTGCAACGTTGATCGCCCAGTCCAACGCAACAAACGTGAGCTTCTTCTCAGCGTTCACAACGATGGCCACTATGTTTGGTGCCAGCGCTGTCGCTACTCCTGTCGTGGACTTGATATTCTCATAGAATGTCTTCGGTGGCGAACTGTCAACCTCATTATCTGAAAAATCGATGAGACTCTGTTTCTGCTCCAATTTCTCTTCTTCCATGGTAGTTGCTACAGTCGATCGCGGCCTGGTGGATTCAAAGCGTTTGAACCCGGAAAAATTAACAACTGGCGTCAGGGAATCTAAGTTATCAACTTCGTCGGAGTTTCGTTTTGGTGAAAAGCATACAGGGCTCCGAAAATTGGTAGGATTCGACCGTAGCGTCGAAGACGTGTAATGGAAAGAATTCGTACACTCCGACCGTGGTTTACTTGACGGAAAGCTTCTACATTTGTCAGGATTCGGTCGTGCCTTGACGGACATGAGACCATCATTGGTAGAGCGAGCTGTGGTTTCTTCGCTTTGCACTGTTCTGATTGTAACCGATCTCTCTCTTCGCAATGATTGTAAGGGGTGGAGAATTTCATGAGTAGGACTGAAAATGGTGTCCAGCGTGGGTTTGGATGGCGTTTTAACGCTTGGCCATGGCTCAGTGTTGCCTGATAATGTCCTTCGCAGAGTCCGTCGTGATCGTGGCGTCAAGCAACTGTCACTGTCGTACTGAACTTTCACAATATTATTCCTAAACCTCCTTCGATCATCACATTCGCCAATGTCACTCATCTCACTGTCCTCATTCCCTTTCTCAAGCCTGCCCCTCCACCTAATTCGGTCTCCATTGTCGGTTGCATCACTATACTCGTCACCTGAACTTCCATTACTGCTCTCCATATCCGTCCACTGCGCCAATGGCGCCCGCATTGGATTTACATCGCCGTGCCATGTGAACGTGGAGGTCCTCCCTGACCTTGTCACGGACTTCGTCGGCGCCATTTCTGGAAACAAACCCTCGGCGAATCCACACCAATCCACCACAGCCCGCTCCAAAATTTGAACGACCACTACAAATGAAACATCTCGAAATTCTCGCGCCGTTCGCAATCGCCACAACTTCCAGGAGCAACCTGAGCTACAAAAGCAAAATATCTATCCATACTCTAACTCCACTTACGAATTGCTACAATGGGAAGCATGAGCAGAATTTTCAAAAATCCTCAACGAACAATGATCAAATTACACACTTTCAAAGGAGCTCATTCTTGCACTTCCATCTAAAACGTACAGTTCTCACCAATGCGATTATCAGAATGGTACGCCGT